CAACCTGCACTTTCATTAACTGTCACTTGTTCTGAGGGATGTTGCTCAAATGGAAGCAGAGTGAGCTTTTCACTTAAGTGCATCCTGAATAAATACCTTCAGTGTTGTCTGTCACTATTTACACAGTATCTAAACATCATCTATACGATCAACTGCCACTAGGTACTGATTTGACAGCCGTGTTAAATGAGATAGTTTGGTAAACCACTTCACAACAGGCAGCAGGTGCACGTTGCCACGAAAAACTCTACATTTATCCATAAAGGGCTGGTTCATAAATAACCAAACTGCCTTATATCTGTGTAGCACAACAAAACAATGGCTTTCACGCACTTCATCACCTTTAAAAGGTTTAAAAAGAAACTGTAGGTAAAATACTTTCTTACATTTTTAAATGAACACCTCAGAGCCAGTTAAACTTTACTTCCTGTTCCATTATTTAAGGTCACAGTTCACTGAGAAAAACAGTGGCAATACCAGTAAGATGGTAAAGTACCTTGCATGCTGCACACTGCCACTCATAGGCGCACCAGTATCCCAGGGGAACCAGTCCTCCCAGTTGGCAGGGGCCCTCCCTTGTGGCGAAGGCGCCATGATTGCTAAGCCACACAATTTTTAGAGGGAAAACAAAAAAAAATCTCCATGACATGAGGGAGACAGGAAGCTCTAGCAGCAGCAGCATCGCCCTCGCCCTGCCCTCTACCCACCTTCAGTTTTTCTAGGTGGAGCTGTATAATCACTGAGGTTCAAACTCAACGCCCTCCACCCACCATGAGGTCTCTGGCTTATCTCTATCTGTCATTTCAATCAGGGACACTCATGCATGTGGATTCTAGTCAATACATGGGCTACGATATGATACAAAACATAATAATAAGCAGGCTGATCATTTCTTTTAGCATGTGACGGGAATGCTGGAACGGAATAAAATGACTTCATATAGAATTAGATGGACAAACATGATCCATATATGGCCTCTGTTATTGGTTCCTCCTCTTTTTCCAGCCCTGACCCTCGTGTTCTGCAGGGCGGGGATGTTAACACATGGCACTGTTTTCCATCCACTCTGCAGGAAATGCATCATAGTTCATTGTGGGGGGACTGTCGTGTTTTTTTAACAGGAAAGTGTAAAAATAACTGCTAGCCGGTGGTTCCAAGGCCCGGTGAGTGTGCCAACATTCAGGAATGCAGAGGTTGAAGTAGAGATGTGTTGATTTAATATTAAAGATAAACAAGCCGGAGCTATTGTTCCTGACAAAAATCCAGAAGGCCTTTGGTTCTTCATTGAATGGCATACGATGAAAAGAGTGGCTACAGCAGAACTTTTCCCTCTAACAATGATAATATGACTTATATTAAAAAAATAAAACCAACAATAGGGGCAGCAGGGCAAAGTAGAAGGTCCAGGTACTTGTAGTGCAAGTACTTGTTTTGGAAAGTGCACTGAACAAGCATCATGGATGCGTCAAAGGATGATCTGTAGCTAACCTCGGGTTAAAGGAAGGCTGAAAAAAAGAATTGGTTTGATGGTCTCTGTGTTTGATTGGTTGTAAATCAGGACTAATCTATTATCTTTTCCAAAGTGTGAAACTGAGATATTAGAGAATATATAAGAACTTAATCAGTATAAAACATACAAAATATGACATACTGGTTCTGGTTCTGTGAGGCTTTACACAGCAGAACTTTGAGCTAAACATGCTAATGTTGGTATAATGTCCCCCAATACTTAGCCTGTTAGCAGGCTAACATTTTGTGAATTAACAATGAAAAACAACATAGAGCTGATAGAGCTGAGGATGATGGGAATGTCATTAGTTGTGCAGGTCATTTTGTCATAGACTAAATTGGAGGGGCCAAAACTGAAACTTAATTGTGGTTCGGCATTTTAAATTAAAATATTATTATAATTAAATTTAGAATTCTGACCTGCTGGTGGCATTGATTAAAAGTTGAAGGATCACCAAAGTTATTACGGTTCAACCTGAGGGGAACATGGAGGCGTGTCAATTTCATGGCAATCCATCCGATAGCTGTTGAGATATTTAAGTCTGAACCAAAGTGGTGGACTGACATGACTATCCGTAGAGCAATGGCACTGATGTGGATAAAAAAAAAACAGGCCACGGTTGTAAAATTTGGGGCCACTGTCTTTCATGCCCTGGAGGTCTTGGAGGCTGTATGCAGGATCACATGATTCCCACAACTGGGGCTGGACAACAGGACCTGACAAATGACCTCGATAACAATGAATATAATTATTTTTTGCGGGTATTTCCTCTCCCTTGTTTTCTTACTTCTGATTTGCACTGTTTGGGTACGGTATAATGAGCTAAAGACACTGATTATTGTTAGTTTATAGACATTATCAGTATCAAAAACGGTGGATTCTAACATCAATAGAAGTAAAATAAAAGAAGTAAGAAAATATGTTATTCAAAAAGCGATGCAGGCTGCCAATTATTTACAGATCTTGGCACAGAAAGCACGGTCGGCCTTATTATGAAAAGTCAAACCCTCTGAGCTCCACTTGAACAAAAGCAAACACCTTCAGCAGAAGGCTTGAGAGGGGGCAGAGAAGGAAGTGACAGGATAAAGAGCAGCGATCCCTTTCTCCAAGCTGTAGCATCCGCTGAGGAAACTCTAGAAGACAGGGACACAAAGATATGAGCGCAAAGCTCGGGAATGGAGGATGTTTGACGTTGTTCCCAGCATTCCCTTCTCCCAGCCCCTTCCCCTCCAACACACTCCCCAACACTGATTGAGCTGTTTGTGTCGCCTCCTGTTATTGTCGCAGGAGCTCCGAACAGTTTACTCCACGCTGCTTCCCTGGCAAAACTCTGTCTGCTTTCCCACCAGCCAGTGCACATATATGTAACAAAGTGTAGCTGAGGAGCTGCAGAAAGACTAAGAAAAGGAGGAAAGGGAGGTTTAGCAGAGCCATAAGTCATAATACAAGTGGGTGTTAAACAATGAAAACTATATTTGATTGAGGTTCACAAAGGTATTTCCTGACATAACTTTGAAATTACGTCTTGCAAGAGTGGAGGGGTCACAGGAAGGGCTGCAAAGCTGAAATATGAATTTGTTCGAGTGTACAGATTTCAGCTTCTACTTTGGGTGCATCTTTGACTTTGTCCGTCTGCTTTTGTCCTTAGTTCATTGTCTCTCCTTCATGGCTGAGTAACTTCCTCAGCCGGCGAGACAATATTAAAACGTGGATTAGTTTGTGCAGGCATTACGCAAATGCTTTGCAACTTCTCCCTTGAACTAAATGTTTCCAATACATTTCTATGCCGGAAAGCACAGCTTTCAAATTTTAGGACTGTACCAGGTTTTTTTCGGTGACTGTTGAAATGCCGCATAGACCATGAGTCAGTATGTTTTATGGTAATACTGAACTAGATCATTACCAGTAAGGTTTGCTCAGGAATAGGAGAAGGTACATCTGTGTTGATCTACAACATATTATTCACAGTCAACACTGATTTTTCAACCATCACTCAGTCAAGCCTTGTTCTCAAACACCTTGTTGACAGATATATAATAAAGCTAAAGATATCTCCCAATATGCCCTCAGTGTTCTCCACACTAAAGATTATTTTTGCAGTCTTCTACTTCAGGGTTTTATGAAGAGAAACATTCTCAGGCTCATGTCTGAGATGTTTACAGTCAGATTCCTGTCCTCTGCTGCATTAGAGCTGTACGTTTTCTCACTGACACAGCAGAGAGGCGTGTGCTGCCACTGACAGAGGAAACCACTCCAAAACATCAAAGGTTACTGAGATGCCAAAGTTCAGCAGCAAGAGTAACATGAACATTTTTGTGTGACCCTTTTTACATAACAAAAAATACTTTACTCTCTCTCCCTGGGGCAAAAATGATTATGTTCCTATTATAAATCACACTCAATATTGGCCTGAAATAAAAGTTAAGAACAGCAGCATGAAAAATCCGCAGATCCCTGATTTAAGTGTAGATATTATTGTAGATATATTCTGGCAGAGGTGACAGGTAGTAGTAGTAGTAGTAGTAGTACACTAAGTTTTGAATGCAAAACCAAGCACTTATCTGTGCAGCCTGTCAGACTGGACATAAGGAGTGGACAGTAATATTAAGGCTGTACTGCTTACTGCACAATACATACATACATACATACATACAGTTGTCTGGATGGGATCAAAAGATACATTCATGTACATATAAGTCAGAAAGGTGCTTAAAAAGTTAAATCGCTCTGTCATGTTGGACTGACCACATGGCAATGAGTGATGTCACACCAGGTATTTTGCTGTTGGCACTTTGGGAGTACAAAAAAAAAAAAACAGGTGTCACTTAAAACATAACTAACTCAACCATCACTAATTTTAGTGATTTTCCTGCTGTGACGAGTCAAAATGCCTCAAACAGGGCCTGTCATGTTGTCCCTATACATTCCCTATAACACAACAGTATTCAGCAGAACAGCATGGAGCCTGTTTTAAACTGCTGAGAGTTACAGAATGAATTCAGTGACCTTTGGCTGATCTGATTTTTGGAAGCAGGACTTCAGAGGCAATGAGTCTGCATGCATGAGGCAAGACTGAAACAATGCAGAAACAAAATCCCCAGCATGTGTAGACCTCTGCTCATTATAATGTGCAAAGAGAGCATCAGTGTAGTCACACGTTGCTGCACATGAAGTGAGCAGATCAGAGTCGGTTCAATAACTGAGTCTTCAGAGCAGTATTGTCCCTACGTATGAGTTCCTAACTGCATTGAATAACACTTATATATCCAAAAAATAAAATTACTGTAGCGCTTTTGGGCTTTTGAAAATACATTTCCACGAGAATATCTACATCTTCCAACTTGTATTTTTAGTTGGAGTAAGCATTAAAGGTTACATCCTTACACATACTGCCAGTGGTCACATCTCAGGTTCATCCTAAACATCTGGATGCTTGCGTCCGCGCGCACTCCCACTGACATTAAGCCCTCATGTGCACGCAAACACTCACCTTCCAGCCCGCGGAGCTGTTGCTGTCCCCTTTATCCTTGAAGTAAGGGACACTCTTCACCATCCAGTCGTATATCTGAGACAATGTCAGCCTCTTCTCAGGTGAGCTGTCTATCGCCTTGGTTATGAGGTCAGCGTACGACATGTTGCCCCAGGCGTTGCGACGGGACGAGCTGCTCTTCCTCTGGCCGCAGCCGCCCAAGGGTGCGACACCGGGAGGAGGCACCTGTTGCTGAGGCGGCAGCTGCGGACCCGGTAGCTGCTGCTGCTGCTGCTGCTGCTGAAGATGATGATGGTGGTGGTGGTGGTGGTGGTGTTGATGCGCACACTTTTCCTCCCGACACTGAAAATCATTGCAGGGCACAGGCGGTTTGTGCTCAGCGTACTCTTCATAGTCCTCCTCTAACAAGCCGAGGTTGCTGATGAACTCGGCGTTAGCTCCCGGCTCCTGCTGCACCGACGGTGCCGGGGAGGATGTGTTGGAGCTGGCCGGGTCGTTGAGCTCCGGCCTGGGCAGCGGCCAGGTGCAGGACCGCGGACGGGAGAGAGGCTCAAATTCTGGGTCTATTTCGACCGGCGCTGTCGGTAGTGGCGGTGCCTCAGCCATGTCAGTCTCACTGTCACACAGACGCTCACATGCAAAATTAATATTAATGAAAAAGGAAAAACCTTAAGGTGAAAACAAAACAAAATAAAAGTCCAGCACTAGGCCGGACGGGACAGGAGAAGAGAGTTCGGTAGTTTAAAAGTCAGAGAACAGTTTCGTTCAAGGTCTTCACTGAAGTTCACACCATCCTGCACCGCCTAGTTGCGACTCTTGAGTCTGCCGCTCTGTCTGTAACAGCCGAGAATAATGCTGCCTTCACGGCCCACTCTAAGGCTCCGTCTTTTCGGTTCTACAACTTGACGGTGCATTCAAGTGCTCTTCAGTCAGAAATCACCACTGAATTGCAATATATTTATTTACATTAGTTAGCACACATTCATATTTTTCATGGAGGGCATGAGAACCCAGCATATTAAACGTATTAGCTGTACAGACTCACAGGAAACTGTGTATTCAAAAGTTAAAAGTTAGATGTACTTTATTTTTGGCTCCCTCTCCAAGGAAGGTCCAATGAATTCTTCAAGGTCTGGGGCAAGTACATTAAGAATAGTACATTTCACAAACTACTAAATTAATTATGGAGTGGTACAGCTTCTACGTTTTTTTTTGTGTGTGTGTATTTGCTTGATTTTAGGAGATGTACAACATGAATGTCTGATTAAACATCCTCATTAATATGTTTATGTATAGTTGTTTTTAAGTGGTAAGTTGTTGTTTTCTTAGTGTACGTGTATGTTATTGCTCCCGGGTCAGTGCCTAATGCTCACTTCTTTATGAAAATACATGTTTTAATTCCTCTATGGCACATTATATAAGGCAATTGTATTTCTCATTGATGTAAGTGTTGTATATCCCTGCAAAAACCCCAATAAAAAAAGTTAAGAAATTTTCTGCCATCTAGACAAATCTGTCTCCGCTGAGTTAGCAAGAACACAGGAGGTCTCCTAGTTATTAACACCAGATTTATAATCATATAATGGAAGGGATCTGTCATTATTTCTCCCTGTTCTTTGTGCCACCTCAGCCCCACCACATCTTGTTCAACTCTGTCGCTGCAAATTCTTAAGTAACTTACTTAATTAATTCATTATTAAGTAATTTATTCCTGTAATTTTAACGTATTTTGCCAGCACCTAAAAGCAGAGGACCGCCAGAGATAACTGTTTTCTCTGGATGTCCTCCTTGTCCCCTTTGGTTTTCAAATCCTAAACTTAAAATGGGACTACAGCTCACAGCTGCCAGTGCTGCCCTCTAGTGGTTCGTTTGAATATAAGAAATGTCTGTACAGATTCAGGGGTCTTTCCACACAAACACTATTTTTTTTTTTTTTGTGGCCCATACACATTCAAGTGAGGAAGTGTTGCAAACATCTTATCATGCCAATCATGACTGTGTTCAAGGAAAATTGAACAAAATGTGGAAATGAGGCACTCTCAAATGTCAGGCTCTTATTTTCCACACTTTGTCAGACAATAGATTGCAGAGGGTGTTTTTAGAGAATCTGTGTAGTACATTGTTAACATGTTTTTAACTTTAAAAGCACTTCCCTCACAAAGGGCACGAGGTTCAAGGTCTCATTACGCTCCTACTGTAAACTTATGATTTTTGACAAAAAAAGAACACAAAAATATTATACGGTCTCAGTCCATTAACAGTGTTGTTTTAATCCCACCTTATCTGCAAACGTGTCTTGATACAAAAGTAAACCTTTTATATTAATAATGGAATCAAGTTAACCACTTAATAGCGCCTGTGTATCACTAAAACTACATTGATATTATCTCAGTATCCCAGACGCTGTCTTTTCATGTGAGTGTGTCACCACGCTAGTGACACATTACAGTCAGTTAATATCATAAGTGATCAGTAGTAGATGTGGATAAAGGGCAGAAAATTAAATAAGCAAATAGCCATGACTGTACTTCTGCTGCTTTATATTGATTGTATACTTCGTTCAACTGTATAAGCAACATTTCATATTCTCTCTGCACATTTTAGAAACAATAGATACCATAACGTTTGACACACAGGCAGACTTAATGCCAGTCCAATCTAACAGGCCTCCTGAAAGACTTACAAGCTGGGTTTCTACTGGAGCCTCAACTGTTCAACTGTATGAGTAAAGACGATCACAGTTGCAAAGTCCTGCTGAGTAAACTGGTCTTTGCTTTTATGTATCCACAAAACATATTCAATTGTCTTAAGTTTAATTGAGTTAAACTTCAGCCTCCTTGAGGACTCCCTCTTTTTGCTTAAAGTAGTCTCTGAACCAGGAAATGTGTTCGCGCTTCTGCTGGACTGTCAGGTAGGGGTTTTTGGACAGACCAGCCACCACCAGCATCATGAAGTGACGCACTGGTCCCTGATGGGGGAAACCCTCTTCCAAGTGCCTCTCTAAGAAGATATGCTCGTGGAATGAGACGCTGGCTTCCTCCTCAAGACCTAACATAGAGCAAGAAGACACTGTCACTGTGTTCCTTCGGCCAAAATAATTGTTTTTTTAATTCTATATACATTTAACTAGAATGCATTCATTACTCACCAGCTTCATTGTTGATTGGGTACTGCCACATCTTTCCCTCTTTGGTCCACTGGATCATTTCATCGAACCCATTGCAGGGCATTGGGTTCATCGACTTAGACAACTGTTGCGCAAAGTGCATGTCCCATAGAGTTGGCTGTGCTGAAAATACGACAGCAGCATTATGTTTGCGTTAATTTGAGTAAGAGTATCCAGAGGCCTAAGGACTTTCACTCTTCACTTGAATACTGGTAGCATAAACGTGATGAAGAGGAAGAAAGATACAAAGGGCATCTTATACTTGAGCAACATAAAAAAATGTTAAGGACCAATAATGATCTAGAAATACTATTCCATAAACGATCCACTGTGCGCAAACATGGTCACAATAATAGCAGACATACAGAAAAACGAAACTCCTTCATACCAACTGTTTCAACTCCACTTTCATCAGTAGTGGGGGAGAAGATGTTAAGTCTTTTCTCTGAAAGCACCTTCTTCCTAAAAAACATAAAAACACACATTAAACACTTGCTCCATCTCCAAAGAGTCTATCTGAGAAAAGATGTGATGAAAGTATTTACCTTATCCGAAAATCCTTCCGCTGAGTAGTGATTCTGGTGTTGTGCGGGTAACCTTTCACTTCGTCGTCGTCAAATTGGATCAGTTCAGCCACCTGAGAGGTACGTCGGATGGCTGATATGAGGTTTCTTTTCTACTTTTAAGTCCCCCATAATTGCGCTGAGAAAATATAGTTGGATTTATGTTTATCACATGTGAATGAAGTCTTTTGTTTTCCATGATACAGAATGAAAAAGCAGAAGAATGTTATGATCTCATTTAAATATTCACCCCTTTAACATTTATATACCAGAGACAGATACTAGACACATACTCGAGTTTTTTCATGTTGCCTTTCTTCTGAACTTCAATGATGTCCTTGTGCTGCCTCAGTTTTTTGTGCAGCTCAGACTCAGCCTGGCTGCGGCCAGGCAGAGTGGCGGCAGCAGCAGATGCAGCTGCAACCAGTTCAGCATTCATTGTCCCTCTAAAAAAACACAGCGAGATGCACAGATGCTTGAATCAGTGGATGAAGGGAGACCAGGACTAGGAGGATATCCTCCAAGATATGGTGTGAAGTAACAAGTTTTCAGGCACAAACTAGTGTGGTCATCTCATCATGCTGAGTCGACACGTCAAAAAGCATAAAACTGCAAGAAACTTGATCTTTAACAAGGCAATGCCACCTCATTCTCTCAGATCAACCCCCTCTCACCTCTTCGATATAGCCTTCACATCACCCCGCCAAGACGTTGACTGTGGTCTATAATGCATTTGATTCTTTCTGAAATCCCTCTTATTAGTTGTCTCCAGCGGCATGGTTCTAAGAAGGTTAAGGAGAATCTCTTTCTCATTCTTCACTGCATCAGTCTTCACTTGTGTTGACTTTGCCACGTCCTGTTCACTTTTAGCATCCATCTGCTGTTGTGTGGTACTTTGATCATCTGTCTTCAACACCACTGGCTCCTCACTTTGCTCGGCCATCTTGATGACTTTGCTGTCAACTTCAGCTTTCTGTGTAACCAAAGTTGCAGTTTCTGCTGGGTCAGCTTCTTTATCTGCATTTGTTTTGTCATCTTGATTAGAGGAGGTAAGATCATTTTTCTTTTCACAGAGCCTGACTGAACTTGTACTCAGGGCTTTGACCCCACTTGCATTGGCAACCCTGTGTAAAGAGCAAAGCAGAGTTCATCGTGATAGGGGTCTGAATCAGACAAGACTTTGAATAATAATATTATTACAATGTTCAATATTAACACATGACAATTATTATTAGGGGTAGGTAATACTATCTTAAAATAACATCATATAGCAGAGATTGTAGCAATATGGTATCTTGTTGACATTCATTTCTAACTGCTGCAACAGACTCTCTCTCTTTAGACCTTGCAACCCATATGACACTTCTCTGTGCTCTATGGTGCTGTCCATACACAAGATACAGTATGTACACATCACTCTACAGAACAGTCTGTACATGTATGGTGGGAGGTAGAGACCACGGCAGCTTTTAAATGAATACAACTGCAACCCATGTCGGTCGGTAGGATGTTCTCCTGTCCCAAGGTGGTGGTGGATGGGACTATCTTCCCTCGACTCATGGTTTTATAGTTATACCCGTTACGATGGGGACGACCTGTAACGATGCACCTAATTACACCGCTTATATGTCAATCATAATGTCCCGCCCCCGTCAGCGCAGGTTTACTTAGCTAACAGCTAGCTGTCCCTTCCCTATCACAACTTTTTAAAATAATAATTAAGAACGTCAATTGTTGTAAAGGCATAAATGTCGTCAACTTGTCCTTCAACGAAAGTAACGTTACACCATTGAAGAACAAGCTCTGTGCTCGATAATCTGTCCCCGTTCACGCAGCCGCACTCACCTGAACACCGGAGCTGCACTTCTGTTGGATTTAACTAACAACACACACGACTCGTTGACTCTGGCTGGAGGATTTCGAGCCGTGCTCACAATCCGAAATAAAGCTCTATACATTATTGCTTCTTGCAATGTCCTTCCACGCTCCTGACGTTTGCCTCCGGTGCTACAACGTAAGGTCACCCCCGTAAACTCGAGTACAACATTGGTTCCGTGCACCAGGGTAGCATGCTTGTGTAATTTAAAGACACAGTACCCTCCGCTGGGAAACCGTTAATTAT